AGCGTGCTTATGGTGTATTGAAGGCGAGATTCCCAATCTTAAAACAAATAGCTCCTTATCCTTTTACAGTGCAAAGAGACATAGTCATTGCTTGTGTCGCGGTCCATAATTTTATAAGGAAATACAATATAGAAGATGACTTGTTTAGAAATTTTGAGGAGGACACTATGGTTACTCCTGACGTCCAAGGTTGGGGAATTGATAGAGAAAACATACAAGGCATAAAATGGGGTCCAGAAGCCGTTGAATATATGCGTGCTTTGCGTGATCAGATTGCAAATCGACTACTTTCACCTACTTTACATTAAATTATTATGTTATTTTAAATTTCATTATGTTTTTATTTGAATATTAAATGATCTATGTTTAATTTACATTTTGTATGATATTTTTTATTTGTGTGTAATTTACATTTTGTATGACAATATGTATGTTTTTATAATTATTCAGTAACTTAATACATCACTATATATAACAGAAGGGTAAAATGATCATTTTTCATCACTCAACATATTCAGGATGTACAATCAAACAACAAGATTTCTTACTCAGTCAGGATTTCTTACTAAGATAGACCTTTCTCAGTCAGCAACTATCAAACGGGGCCTTAGATTGTTTTTACCATATTAAAATAAAATTCTTTACAATCTCATTTTTATTTTATTCTTTAATATAGGATCATATTTTATAATAATTTTGCTATGAAGCTTCCCCTAAAGCTAAATTTGTGATACCCTTTTCTCTAAAAACAAACTCGCGAATTTAAGAGCCTGACTTTGATGAATCAAGTATCAACCCCCTTCCTTGACGCCAAGATCTGTTTTCTACTCTTTCCGTCTCTTTCAACTTCAAACACTCGTTTTCTCTCCCTTGAATGATACACAAACTAATGAAAGTCTAGAAAACTGCTTGATTTTTCTTCTTTTAAGGTGAGCGCTCGAATAAGATAAACTAATTGCAATACATACAGACATGGATGATTACACGAAGGACGATGTTTCACAGCTGATCAAGAGAATTGGGGCTTTTCTATCCGCCAGAATGTCCGAAATATTAGATACCCAGGTGCTAATTTCATTTTTATCTTTGCAAGTTTCTTGTTATTGTTTCCCATTTTCCGCAGGCTTGATCTTACTGTCTCTTTGATTTTTATCGTAATTTGTGGTGAAATCCAAATTGGGGTTTTTCCTCTGATTACATAATGATGGGAATTTGACGTTTGAGAAGATAATCGAAATCGGAAAGGTTGATTTAGGTTATGCAGTTTAATCAAGAGCAACATTAGTAGTAACAAATTGTACGCCCCAATTCCCATAAACATGCGATTCCATGGTGTTGTGCTCACAATTCAAACCATGATAAAACAACTGTTTGTATTCCAATCTCAACACCATTTTGACCTCTAGTGATCCAATTGTAAGCCTCATTTTGGTTAGGGTTAATGCAAGAAGCAGCAACATATACTTCCATACATTTGTTTATCATAACATTCTACTTCTATTTCATCCTATTTCAACATCGTACCTTGAAAAAAAAACTACCTAATTATAGCAATGCCATAGTATTTCATAAATAAAGCAGATGTTACAAGAGAAAGATTCTAGAACTAGTAAGGACTAACTTAGTAAACTACCTTAAAATTCTGAAAATTAAATATGAATCAATAACCAATTGAAGCTTAGGCAAAAATTGAAAGCTAAGGATTATAAGTTATGTTTACATTCTTATACAATGACTTGGTTAATTTTTACCCATCATGTGACAAATTTAAAGTTATATTATATTGATTTTCGTAATTGGACAAGTAAATAATATTTACTCCATCACAAATATTGCTTTCCAAACATTTTGAGTATTTCTTACTTTTTCAACATTGCATATTTGATATACAATGTAAAATACATTTTGTTAACTGATGCTTTATGAAGAATAATTTACTATCATCTGCACTCTAAACTCTTTTTTAAGCAAAAATAATAATAATAATAATAATAATAATAATAATAATAATAATAATAATAATAATAATAATTGCAGGATTTGCGATCTGTTTGGGCTTTAGTGGCTGTTGTTTGTACTGTAATTTTTACATGGAGGCTACTCTTAGCACCTAGTGGGCCCCACGGGAGACAACCTAAACCTCAACCTCCTTCTCAAGTCAATACTCAACCAAATTCAAATCTCTTGCCTTCATCAACACAAACTGTAATTGATGACCTTTTTCAACCTGTAAAGGTATATATTTTTTTTCTATAAAAATCTTATTTTGAATTCTTTTGGGTTTCTTATAAATTATGATTTATTCTGCTTGTTTTTGCAGCCTACTTTGGGACAAATAGTTAGACAAAGATTAAATGATGGAAGGAAGGTATCACACACACACACACACACACACACATATATATATATATATATATATATATATTCATATTGAATAACTTTTGTATTTACTGTAGGGGAAATTTCAGAAAAGCAATTGCACTTTCACCATTTTATTGATATAGCCACTGAACTATTACCTTTTTTATGATTGTTAGTTTGTTACAGAAAAGTCCCAAACTTTTGGGAAAAGTTTCATTAAAGTCCCAAAAGTTTTTTTTTGAACAGAAAAGTCCCGATTATTTAACATTTTGCCCAAATTAACGAAAAATTCCTTTTCTATATTTGAACAGCAAATGACAAGTTATATGATTTTCTCAAAATAATGGGACGTTTCTGTTAAAAAATTTTTTTTTAGGACTTTATTGAAACTTTTCTTAAAAGTTTGGGACTTTTTTGTATATTTCCATATTATCATATAAAATAAAAATCTTTGGTTGATTTTGGTGAAGGTAACTTGTCGGTTGCTTGGCATTATACTTGAGGAAAGTACTCCAGAGGAGCTTCAGGTTGTGACTGTGATTCATTTTTTATATTTTTATTTATTTATTGGGGGGGGGGGGGTTGTAAATGTTTGTTTATTCTTTTTTCCGAATTAAATGTGTATTTATGCAACAATGTTTTACCTTTATACCAATTTTTACAACACAGTGGTTTTCAACAAGGACTATGCAACCAATTAATTTATCATATTGATATTTAGGTAAAATAATTTTGTATCTTATAAATGCTTTCTATTTGGAAAAAAATTATTATTAACAATTTTCTAGACAAATTTTTTGATTGTATACCTAATAAGTTGATTTTGTTTATTATTATCTCATTTTAAATGGTCATACTAATAAAATAAAATAAAAATGGGCTCATGCAACAACTTTTCACACTTTTACTAATTAATGCAACAAAGTGTTTACTTTTTAGACATGATTGAACATGGTTGCATATTTTGTCTAAAAAACCAATTTGTTTCATTGTTTGCATAAATAAAAATGAAAAACCTAATCCTTATTATTTTTCATACATATTTCAATCATGTGATTTATGCTTTTTCGTTATATATTATTGTAGAATCAAGCAACTGTGAGATCTTCGGTTTTGGAAGTTGTATTGGAGATGACAAAGTTTTGTGACCTTTATCTCATGGAAACAGTTTTAGATGATGAAACCGAAGTATGATCATCTATCTTACCCACTTTCTTTTTTGACTTTGACTTTGACTTTGACTTTGACCGAGACTGATCTTAATGGGACAAAATTACAATTTTTTGTCCCACCCAAAAAGGTGGGACATGGACTCGCTTTTGATTTCTCTGTTGTGAAAATGACATAAACGCCCTTATCATCATCAGCATTGATTATAATTTTCTCAATCTGTGCAAAAGACGCCAATGCCCTCCTCATCCTCAATATTGAAAATAGCCCTAGGTAACTTGTATTGGGATTTGGGAGGAAAATATTTGAGGAAACGGCATCATATTTTGGGGAAATGGAAGATTAAAATAAATGAGGGCAAATTTTGTAAAAAAAAAAAAGTTAGGACTTAATGGGGAAAGCTTCATTTCCATGATTTTCTCTGTTAAGTCGTTCTTTCTGCATTAAGTAAACACAAAGTAACTGTGTTGGCAGAAAAGGGTTTTAACTGCATTGGAAAATGCCGGCATTTTTACATCAGGTGGCTTGATTAAAGACAAGGTAAATTGTTAAATACCATTTAATGTATTATAATATAAATATGATATAATATAATATGAAATTGCAGGTTCTCTTTTGTAGCAAAGAAGTTGGGCGGACTTCTTTCGTTAGACAATTGGAGCCCGATTGGCATATAGACTCGAATCGTGAAATTTCTTCTCAATTGGCGGTATATTTATATTTATACATGTTTTTTAATAAATTAGTAACATAAATGCAAAGCAATTTTCACTGTTATAATTTGATAGATTTTTCAAAGTATATTGTTCCAATAAGAAGCTAATTAAAAGTACAATACAAAATACAATGTTTTAATGAAAAATTTGTAAACACAATGCTATAATTGGGTAATTTTTTTTTTTTTTTTTTTTTTTTTTTTTATAAATTTTCTAACATGGTGGATTTTGTTTTTGGTGTTTTCGTTTTATGACAGAGGTTCATCAAATGTCAACTCCACATTTCACCACTTAAAACCGAGCAAATTGCTCCTAATGTTTTCAGTTCTTCATCTTTGGAACAGTTCTTTGGGGTTTGACTTTCTTGAATAAGTCAACGATGCAAATATGTACTTTTTTTTTCAGTCTCTTATAAGATCCGATGTATACCCACAGTCGTGATGGATGATGTATGTGCAATAGTTTTGCTTAAATTTCTATAAATAACACTAACATTTCTTTACCCACAATAGCAACATACTTGTATTTCTTTTTATTGATAATAGCAATATGTAACAAATAAAATATTGATAGCGAAATGTAAGCACTTTCTATTATCGGTATTAAATGAATAATCCAAAAACAATTTTTACCACTATAATAAGGAAAAGAATTGAAACTGCAATGTTATAATTGGGTAGACTTTTCAAATTACAATGAATAAGAAAAAGTATATTGAAATTAAGTTGTTTTTTATATTTAACTCGATTACAATTACAAAGATGCCCTCAATCGACTAAACCTTTCGGCTTCATCAGTTCGACCCGAATTCTTCAAAACCCTAATAATGCTCGAGTAATCTTCTTGGGTTACTTCAACTTTATATCTTCGAGTCATCAACTGAAAAACCCGTAAAGCCTCATCCACCAATCCACCTCTTTCACAAACACACAAAACCGCTTTAAAAGTAAACCGGTTTGGCAAAAACCCATGGGCCATCATCTCGTTAAAAACATCAACTGCTTGTCGATAACAAGAAGCAAACCCGTACGCCTCGATGACTGCAGTCCAAGTCATCGAACCCTTCACCGAAACCCCCTCAAAAACCCTAATCGCGGTAGAAATTTCACCGCAAACACTGTAAAACTTTATAATCTCGGAACAAACAAACGGAATCGAATCGAAGTTTTTCTTCAAAACATGCCCGTGTAACTCCTTCCCGAGTTTCACCGCCCGTAGTTCACTGCAAACCTTAAAAATTCTCGAAACCGCCACCGAATCCGGGCGGTGTTTGGATACCGCCATCGATCGAAAAACCCTAATCGCATCATCGAACTTCTTCGATTCCATATACGATTCGATCATAACCGTCCATGAGATCACATTTCTTCTCTCGAGATGATCGAAAAGTCTAATGGAGTAATTATGAACACCGCATTTCGAGTACATCATCATTAATGATGTGGTGATACCGATTTGTTTAACGAAATTGTTCTTGATTGCAAAACAATGGATTTCTTTACCCGATTTTAAAGCTTTGAGCTTTTCGCAAACGGGAATGACTGTGTTGATGGTTACTACATCGGGCTTGAACCGTTCTTGTTGCATCCAAACGATTGATTTCAAAGCCATGTCGAACCGGTTGTTTGCAGCGTAACCGGACATGAGTGCGGTCCACGAGATCGTGTTCCGTTCGTTTGAATTGTAGAAAACCGTTCTTCCCGACATCAAATCACCGCATTTGGAATACATATCGATTAAACCGGATTGGATAGGCAACTGTTTTGAGTACTCTTTTGTTTTGATTATGTATGCGTGTATTTCTTGACCGAGTTTTCGGGATGAAATATCACCAATCACGGGGAGGATTGTGGTTAAGATAACGGAATTTGGAGGTATTTGTTGTTTTAGCATCAAACGGAAGTGATCTAGGGCTTCGATTTGAAGCCGATTGTGTGCAAAACCCGCGATCATAGCTCCCCATAAGACCATGTCGCGTTGATCTTCGCACATTTCTTCGAATAGTTGGCGGGCGAGTTTGATTTTATGGCATTTGAAGTACATATCGATCAAACAAGTGGTTACGATTGAATCGTCTATGAATCCGTTCTTGATTAATAGTCCATGGGTCTTTAAACCTTGATAAAGGGCCGAGGATCCACCCAAACTTTTGAGCAAACAAGAGAATGTGTAAACATTCAATTCGATGCCTAATTCCCTCATTCGTGAAAATGTTTCGAGGATTTTATGATGGTTCTTACCACCCACAACCACATTGCCCCTGAGCAATGCGTTCCAAGGGTAGACACTGGATGTTGGCATTTCGTCGAACAGGTGGTGAGCATCTTCAACCGACCCACATGAGGTGTACATATTAACAAGCTTAGTTCGTAAAAACTCGTTATTTTCAAGCCCATTGATACGGATATGAGTGTGAATCACTTTCCCGATGGATAACGACTTCACTCGAACAACTGCCGCGATGAGTTCGGAGAATGTAGTTGGGTTTACAGGCACACCGCGTTTTTCCAAGTAATCCAATATAGTTAGAGCCTCTTTGAGCTTGTTTTGCTTGGCGAATCTTTGAATATCTTTATAAATGGCAATAGGGTTCTTGGTGTGGATTGGTATCGATGACGGGAATAGATATTTTTCATCGAAATCTCGGTGTTTTTTCCTTGTGGGTGTTTGAGATTGAGATTGAGATTGAGGAGAGACTGTTGAAGATTTGATTTTGAAACTGGGGTGATTCTGGTTGCTTAGAGTGTTCGCCGGGAAATGGTGGAGATGAACGGTTGTAGACGAAGGTAAGAAGAGGTTACAGAGGCCTTCCATTTCGGTACATTCAAGCAGACCTATCCCATACATAAACATATGTTGTTTCTCGTTTTTACTGAATGAACCTCGTAATTATAGTTGATTACTATTTTACTATAGATTCAATCTGGAATAAAAATGAATTTCTGTTTAGTTATACTTGTAAATTCTAGAAATCAATTTTTTTTTTTTTTCAATTCTTTAATAAAGATTTGAACATTATAAACGTTTTAACAAAAATTGACATTTATTTTATATAATTAATTATTTTTTCTAAAACAAAGTATAAATCTTAATTCCATTAAAACACTATTCTTTTATAATTTTTTTGTTATCAATTTAATGTTGTAAATCTAATTTTGGGCTTCTAGCAATACTTTAAAAAGAAAAACAAAGATTACCAGTTTGAGTTTATAAATACATCAACACTCATCTAACATTGTTATTAATCGAACTACCAAACTTCCATCAATCATTTTACATTAGCCTACCGTTTTATTATCACATTATCATCCATCTAAATCTCAATGAATTCATTATATATATATATATATATATATATATATATATATATATATATATATATATATATATATATAATGAATTCATTGAGATTTAGATGGATGATAATGTGATAATAAAACGGTAGGCTAATGTAAAATGATTGATGGAAGTTTGGTAGTTCGATTAATAACAATGTTAGATGAGTGTTGATGTATTTATAAACTCTTTTAAACTATTGCTAGAAGCCCAAAACCGTTTATAATAACAATGTTAGATGAGTGTTGAAGTAATTTTTCCTCCCTACACAATTATTCAACCACTGCACAAGAAATAATTTAGAATTAAAATTTAGTCGTGTGGACTTACATATAAACAATGAAAAAAAAATTATAAGATTTTTCATCTGTACGTTTCCATTCTTTCATTTTGGAATTTGGATCTTACCCTACAATGATGATCAAACCTATCAACACATTTATCACAACTTCTGTAGTGTTTGCTATACTTTCGAGCCTATAACAAATTAAAAGCAAGATTTTAAATAATTTGTCCAGAAAATCAACAATCATATCATCAGAAGTTGAGTATACAAAATACGACTTCAGAAATCGAATAAAGTTTAATAAAAAATGATTTTTTTTACGGAAAATAGATACCTTAGCATTGCATAGTGTACAAAATAAAGCTTCTTCCTCCCCTCCTTGTTGCATATCTTCATCTTTTCTACAATCCTCTATTACAATACAACCACAAAAGAATTCCCAAACTTTTGAACAACAACCTGAGCTACAGGATCATAAGAGCTGAGTCGGCAGTGATTGGCCTCCTCAATGGCTGCATGGGCATGTTCATTTCGATAATCACCACGTTGTTTTGTGGCGATGTTTTCCGAACACATATAGACTTATCAGACTCCAATGTAACATTGGTAAATGTGATGAACTGTGGATTGATCCCTATGCTTGGCAACTGCAACAACAATATTACATTATTGAAAGCCAAAAAAACAGCCAAACCATGCACAGTAGGCCGCTATAAACTGTGATTGTGATATCACATTCATCATACCTCACAGATTTACTAAAAGCATATTAACATACATAACTGTGGACTACAACTCCACAGATAAAGTCAACATGCTACATCCTTTTTTTGGCTATTCCAGAGCCATAATTCTAAAAATTAAAGGGAGTGCAAAAGCTACCAAACGGGATTTCCATCAGACTAACCCTAAATAAACCCAAAAGATCATTAAACCAGTAAAATCGAATACAGTAAGTTCGGTTTCCAAAATATCATAGTGCGAAATCTATAATCACATAAGATACCAAACCTTTAAATACTTATAAGCAATACTAAAGTAAACTAGTTAAGAAGCTCGAGAATACTTTTATGCCATTTCAGTATCCTCAACGTCATTTCATGAATCCTATCCAAGCTATATGTATGGTAAAATATAAGTGTGAATCTATTGGTATAAGTGTATATGATAAACCTAGGTTCTTTATAGAGATTTACATACCGTGAGTGCCTCTTTCATAGTGATTGGAGCGCTAGCGGCCGCCATTGTGGTGGCGAAATAGATCAAAACGACGACTTATCACACAGCGGTAACAATCAAGAGGGTAATCGATTAACTTGAATCATGAGAAGAGACTGTGGAGCTGACGATCGATTGTAGAAGAAGAAGAAGAAGAAGAAGAAGAAGAAGAAGAAGTGAATTAGAAATGATATTGAGTACGATTTAGAGAAATTTATCTTTGAGTCTTGAGTGAAATCAGGAATATTAATTATCTTCCATAATTAACTATGTAAAGATTACTATAATACCCTTAACTGATTTATTTATTTTTTTTTCTAAATTCTTATTGGTACATTCATGCACACAATAGTTGCTAAAACATTTGAACCTAGCTCTCTCTCTCTATCTCTCTCTCTCTCTCTCTATATATATATATATATATATATATATATATATAAGTATATGTTTATGTGACTTTTTAACTTTAAAAATAAAAAAACCACAAATTGACCTGTGAATATTATTTATTTAAAAAATATCATAAAATGACAAGTGTCAAAACTTATTAGAAATTGATATGTGACAAAAAACATTTATTTATTAGAGAAGATTTCCAACTTTGTTAAGTACTGATTTTTTTATTTTCATTTAACAACACAAAAGATGCTTTTTTTTTTTTTTACATTGTCTTGTCCAATTTTTATTCTAAAAACACTAGTGTTTTATTTTTTTGATTTTGATATTGTATTTTTCAAGTCAAAATGAAAATTCTAGTAGCTGCAAAAGTGTTGATTAAATTGTCAAAATTGAACAAAATTGTATGTTTTCAATTAAAAAAAAGTATAATGTTAAAATTGTAAAAAAAATACATATTGTGTACCGTTTACTTTAATATTTACTAGGTGTAAAACTCGTATATTACACGAGTTAATAAAAAAAATAAAACATTAAAATATACATAATAAGTATTTTTAAAATAAATTTATAAGGAATGAAGAAACATATTAATTGCAATTTATTATAATAATTATTACATTTGATATTATATATATATATATATATATATACATAAGTATAAGATTATGTGTGTGTATATATATATATATATATATATATATATATATATATATATATATATATATATATATATATATATAAGTATAAGATTATGTGTTTTTTTTTTTTAATTTTAAAAATTAAAAAAACCCATAAATTGGCATGTGAAAAGTATTTATTTAAAAAAGATCACAAAATGACAAGTGTCAAACTCATTAGAAATTAACATGTGACAAGAAAACATTTATTTATTAGAGATGATTAATTGCAAGACATATATACTATACGTATTGATTCAGAAAAAAAAGTTAATAAATATTTTTTTTAAAATAAAGTTTCGAAATTGAGAAGGGAAAAAGGTATTCATTGAAATTACTATCATATTCATTACATTTAATACGTTACATATAGAAGTATAACTATTGTATGATGTTTTTTTCAATTGAAAAAAATCAGAAATTAACATGTGGAAATTATTTATTTCAAAAATACTATAAAATAACAAATATCAAAACTTATGAGCGATTGACATATAACAAAATTGATGTAAACTTATGACTAAGAGCCCGGGACATGAATTTAACTGAAAAATGAAAACCATAAATGTAAGATTTTAACCTATGGACTAAATTTACAGATTATAAAGTACTCGAGGGACTATTTATGTAAAGTCATAGGCTTTTTTCCATTGTTATTGGGAAATTGGGAGGTAGAAGAACGGCATACTTTATTCCATAGCCGTTCTACGCAGAGTCGAGCCTCGAGTATTCAAGAAACGCGTTACAGAAGCCCATTAGCAATGGAGGTCGTTTGCCCCATAGATGCTCAATTCTCTGAGCAAATCGCCGTTCTACTCGAACCACCTTCACCCCTTCAAGTCCAGGCAATCTTTCTCTCTTTTTCTCTCTCTGACTTATTTATCTCTCTCGATAATTACCATATGAGAATGTAATTCGTTAACTTAATAAGCTGCAGGAGTATTTCGATGAACTTATAACAAGTAAACAATGTAATGGGATTCAAGTCAAACCAACCAATGACTATGGAAAAGGTACCCTTCCTCTTGCTTTTGGCGGAAACAAAAAATGACACCTTTTTAACCTTTAAGCATTTGTTAAAACCATCTAAGAAGAACCTAGATTAGTATTTTTACTATGCATATATGCTAAGGATGTTTGTCTTTAAAAATACGATGATAACAAGCAACGGAGAGTTATTCCATTCTTTTGCACACCACCTGTTTGATATATTGCATAGGAGAGATGAATAATGAATTGTCATCTTTGTAATTATGTATCGAACTCAACAAATCCTAAACTATTCGTTCTTAATTACCTGCAATGTAACATTCTGAAAACTGGAAAAAACTTTCAGGCGTTTATGCTGACATGGAGTTTGAAGAAGACGACCTTATTTTGAAAGATCAAATGCTTTTCGGTGTGCAACATTCCTCAAATAAGGTTCCCACTCATTTCTTTCTTTGTTTTTGAACGAATCATGGTTTTTTTTGAACACTTTACATTACCAATCCTTTCTCTTAGCTTAAACATTTCTTTCTTGTAGATTGATTGTCTTGTCTGTAGTTTCTGCTTCCAATTTATTGGGTCAATAGAACTCCAAATTGGGAGGAAGCTTTATCTTCAGGGTTTAGGGAGCCCAAAAGATTGTTCTGATTTAGCATCCAAAGATCAGTTAGAGTTTCAACATTGCTCTTCTACCACATCCAGAAATAGATTTCAGCTTCCTACTGAGAGTGTAGAGTCATTAATGCATGAGAAATTAGCATTGCCATATTCAAAGAAATTTCCATTGCCTTCTGTTATCAATTGCCTTGGGGGATGTAGAGACGCTTACTACTGTAGGTGAGTATCCTAATACCTTTTCTTGCTTTTATTTTTATTCTTAATTAATCATCCATCAATATTTGAATGTTAGAAACATAGTTATTCAAATGATTCAAATTAGATCATTGATTGATTGTGTTAACTAACACTTAGATGACATGACAATGACATATTTGAATTATTTGTAGCAAATCTTGTGCACATGCTGATTGGGATTTATGTCATTCTATACTTTGTACTGGAGATGGGTCAAAATCGTTGTCCAAAAAGGCACTTTCAAGATTTATAGAACATGCTAATGGTAAGGTTGAAATGTTGTTATATCCATCTACACATATTTTCCCTTTTTACCCCTCGATTCCTAAGCTTTTTTCTCTTTCTATCAGAGACAAATGACATTTTTCTTCTTGCTGCCAAGGTAAATTCTTTTAAAGCTCATATTTTCACTTTTCTTCCCTTTTCTTTTTGGCTAAATGCAAGAAATAACTACAATTCATTTACACACTTTGTCCATCTAAAATGATATACATTTTGAAAGATCAAGGCTTTATGACATATATTGACAAAATATGATTAACATTTAACAAAATAGATTTTTTTTTGCTTCCATTTTCAGGCAATTTCTTCTACAATCTTAAAGTACAGGAAGTTAAAAGCAGCACACAATAAAGAGAAAGAGAAGAATCACATTGCTGAAGTTTTAGGCAACCACAATTTTTCTCTTCTTTTAAATGCTTGGAAGCCTTTATCAATGGGATACAAGAGAAGGTATATATATCAAAATTTTCATCTCTCTTTTTTGATGATAAAAATACTTATCACTACATTACACATGTGAATATGCAACAACTCTCTTAGGCCCTTTTCATCATTGCAATAACAAAATCCATTTATTTCTACCATGTTACATTCTATATCAATGCAATTACATACACCTTTTAAACTGGTAACAATTTTATAACTTTAGGGTGGAATACAAGAAATAGCAACATACTTCCATTTATTTGTTTATTATAATATCTTAATTTCTATATTTTTTTTTCTTATTAAGGGATTGTATTTTAAAAAAAATATTTCCAAATGTAGGTGGTGGGACTGTATTGCATTGCCTGATGATGTTGATACTTGCGACGAAGCTGCTTTTAGAATGCAAATAAGACAGCTGGCATTTGAGGTCAATCCTTGACATAATAAGATATTATTATAATTATATTATAAAAATAAAAATAAGTAGAATCAGAATTTCGTAAACCTTGTATTGCTTTTGCTTCTGTGGTCAAAACTCTAATCATTACTTTGACTTTTTTTTAGTCACTGGAGCTTTTAAAGGAAGCAATTATCGACGAGGAATGTTTGCCATGTATCCTGGACACATGCTTAAATTTTTTATACATTATATATATATATATATATATTATATTATATTATATTGTACTCCTTAATCTTAATTCAGTGTTCTCCCTAGAAATCTTTGGGCATATTATTGGCATGTTTGAGCTGAATAACCTGTAAGTTTTCATTCACCTGTCTTTCTTTCTATTACCATTTAATTACAAATTTATAGCAATTTTCAGAAACTTTTAATATCATCAATATATGCATTATTATGAATGTGACATTGGGTTTTGTATATGAATATGATAGTGATTTGGTTGTAGCATCTCCAGTGGAGGATTACTTTTTGTACATAGATGATCTACCCGAACCCAAAAAGGTTAGAATCAGATTAAAACAATATATTTAATTAATTAATTAATTATTAAATGTATCTTTCTGTTTGTATCTTTTTTGCAGAAAGAAGTTGATGAAATTACACAGCCTTTTCTTGATGCTCTTGGGGAGGACTATTCTGTTTGTTGCCAAGGTAATATAATTGCAAGAAATAACAAAATAATTTTATTTATTTGTATTATGCTTCCTATTATGAAACTTTAAATCAACCATTTTTTCACAGCTATAAACATGTAGTTTTCAAAGTACAGAGTCCTAAAATTGAATGTTATGCTGAAGTAAAATGTATTAATAAGACAGTTTGAAAGAAGAATGATGTAATAGAAAGATTCAAAAAGTAATACGTTATAATAAACAAATAAATCAAACTATGCAGTCTAAAAAACCGCTTTTTCATGCTCTGTGAAAAAGGTTTAATTGAAAAATCATTATTTTGCAAAATTTTAATTTTTCAGGCACAGCATTTTTCCCACTGCAAAGCTGTATGAACCATTCGTGTTGTCCCACTGCTAAAGCTTTTAAACGTGATGAGGTAAATACATGTTTTTATATTATTATTATATATGATTGCAAAAAATTATTTATTAAGTGCAAGATATGACAATGTACTTCCATTGATTTGTTTATTTGTTTCTTCCTATTACAACATTCTACTTTGAAAAATCTACCCAAATACAAAGTAATCGACTTTTCAAAGTATGATGTCATAATAAGAAAAAAAGATTAATATAAAATGTTTTTTTTTTTAAAAAAAAAAAATTGAAAGTTGGATGCTAATATTTTCTCCTTCAAAATTATAGGACAGAGATGGCCAAGCAACCATACTAGCATCTACACCTATTAAAAAAGGAGAAGAGGTTATTATTATTATTATTATATAGCATCTTATCTGTATTCAGTTGTAATAAAACTTTGGATTTAACTTTTTTTGAAAATGTCAGATTACCATATCATACATAGATGAAGACCTTCCTTTTGAAGAGAGACAGGCATTGCTTGCAGACTACGGGTTTAGATGCAAATGCAACAAATGTATTCAAGAACAGCCATAATAATTCTTCCCTTTTTGTATTAATATATACTTTTTTTTTATATTATTTAGGATCTACCGATTTTGGACTTATACTTAATTATTTTGTGTCGATAATCAACTTTTATGAATTTGTGTAACTATGTTTACTTTTTTTTTTTTTACTAATCTATGCAACTGTCATCGCTTATGAATCCGTACCATATTCTCATTGAGTTTAATATTTCGTATTTTGGTCTTGAAATGAAACATCGTTGGATATTTCCTATGCTTTTTTGCATAAATTGATAAAAGGTTAACATGTTGCGTTAATAAAATCATATAGTCCGTAATAAAATTATGTTTATTACGAGTATAGATTTGAACTGTGGTGCATATAAATGAAAGCTTGTTGCTAGTTTGTACATAAAATTGTATATACTATGTACCGTCTTATTTTTCAAACTAAATTTTTATTTTTAAAAGATAACATACATTTTTTTCAAGATAAGGAAAACTATTGTTTGAAAATCAAGATACAAATATCCAAATCAGAGTATATAAAATAAAACATGCATAGGATAGATAATCTTAAATAAAGTTGAAGCAATAAATTAAAGATTAAAAATAAAAGGTTATTTAGGATAGATAATCTTAAATAAAGTTGTAGTAGACGTAATGACAATTCTGTTAATATAAAGAACGATCAAATCTGATGAGTAAGTTATAATCTATCTAAGTTTCGTGTTCAAACTGATACGACAACATAGGTTGCTTATTATCATAAGTGATCTAAACTAAAGTCGTAATACTCATAATTAGGAAAGCGTGCATATAAAGAACGCCTATATTTGACTTCATATGAAGAAGTTATAACTTTTTGAAGTTTCGAGTGTGACACTGTACAACAGTGTGCGACACAAAAATCAAAATTAAAATCTGTTGGTTGTTAGACAAAACAATGTAAATGAGAGTTGGAGATCTTATAAATACAAATGCATCAATATAAAGACAGTAAAAAACAGAGCTCGTATGTGAATGATATAAGTAAAACTTCGTCCCTAGTTTCGAAACGCGGCGAAATCTGTTGAGATTTGTAAAATTGAAATATATTGAGAATTAGCCGATGAAGTCTAAATGAACGTTGTAGTACCCGTCGATACAAATTTAGGGATATAAAGAACGTCGAAAACGAAGTTCGTATGGAGAAATTATGAATTTCACAGTGTTATTTATAGTCTAAGCCTCCTTGAACTGAAAAACGAAAAATAAGTTGAAAATTAGATGACGAGGTCTAAATGAAAGTTGTAGTACTCATCGATAGCTATGCGTGGATATAGATCGTATGCGAAATTTATGACTTTTAGAAAATAAATTCAGACGACCCAAATCTTGACACATGGCATGATCAGAAACACCCTTCTTCCTTAAGGATTGCAAGCAGATTGTGACACGTGGCTTAAGGAGAGGCTGCCATATCACTAGGCATGGTGTACCCCTTCTAGAAGTCTATATATATGGTTGATTTTTTGCTCTTTGTCACTCATTCTTCTCCCAAACTCTTTCAAAATTTCCCAAGGCCTTAAGGTCTGACTTTAGTAGTTCTTAGGTGTTAGTGGCAAAGCTCTGGAGCTCTAGAGAGCTCGAAAAAATAGAGCTTTCGATTTCAAAGTTTTTCCTGTGTAATGTTCGGTTTTTCGTTAAACAACCTGTAAGTTGAGTTATGCTTAGCGTGATTTAAGTATAGCTTATATTTTTGTTCGTAAATGTTATTATGAACTTATAAGTAAGATTTATCAGTAATACCAATTGTTATATTGACCGATCTACTTATGGGAATGATGTCAAGACAATATCAGCGAGATGTTTAAAGCAGATTTTCCAAACAATATACCTTTATATGCCAAATGGATCCTACCTCCGAATACGATCTTACCTTGTTATTTCTTATTAGCTATACGTCGATGTTCTTTTGAGATTATTGATAGATCTGATAAAAACATTATAACGATTAAACTTTATAAATGCAAATGAATACTAAGACTTAGTAATATTCGTGTCTAGGTCATTTTAAAAGGGAATTTGAAGTGTCAGTCACAGAGATGACTTTCCCATGAGTCTTCCATCTATATCAAGTGAGTGCATAGTTACTTTCATGAACATGATTTTAATACATAGTCTTTGTAACATCCATAAAAATTCAAGACAATTTAAATCTTTTTAAAACATTTAAAACCATTAAGTTATTATAGTTTGTTTTCAAAATAGTTTAAACATCAGAGTATCCCCATAATCAAATCATAAAATCATGAAATATGAGGAGCTGTACGATCATACCTTCGCCTTCCCGCGATCATCAGAAGTACGCGAAACAATAATCAATAAATGTAAGCTCGAAGGCTTAGTGAGTTACCCCCAAAATACCAACGCCATACATATATAACCATATCATATAACATATAAGAAAACAACATGCATAATGAGCCTTCAGCCTGACTGGACTACCTTGCAGGCCTTCAGCCTATCTGGACCACTCTCCGAGCCTTCGACACGTCTGGACTGCCTCGCAGGGCCTACAGCCTATCCGGACCGCTCACCGGGCCTTCGACCTGACTGAACCCCTTTGGAGGGCCTTCAGTTTATCCGGACCGCCCTGGGTATGTTGACCTTCAGCACAAAGCATGACCACCTCACCCAACCCCCAGTCAAATAAACATATGCACATAGATATCATACGCTAGCATATATATAACAGTCAAACTGATGTAACAAATCACTAATCATAACAACATCCTATAACCATGATACAGACCTAACCAGTCACTAACCTATCATCATCCTATATACCAGAATATCGACCTAACCAGGTCACTAAGCATGTCACCATCCTAATTACCAGGATGTAAATCAATAAGCATATCATGCAATAACCCGGATACAAATCCGTAAAGGGACGACATTGGTGCCTTCGACCCTGTTAGTATAGCGAGGATAACTCACCTGACATTGCTGAAGTCCCACGGATAAAACTCCAGCTGCTGGTTGACAGATTCCCAAACTGTCAACATCAAACAATACCCAATTAATAATTGGGTTCCAAGCCCAAGGTCCAACCCACACTCCAAAGGCCTAAAAATCATGTAATGGGCCAAAGCCCAACGTATGGCCCAATTTTCCAAATTAGGCCCATACCTCTACATGGTCTTTCCTTAAGGCCCTTCCATTTATTCTATTCCAAACTCTTGGTATTCCAATGGACCAATATCTTATAATCATCAAGGCCCAGTTATGGCCCATCTGTGGCCTAATTTTCCAAATTGGGCCCAAGTCCTTCACATGTGCCTTGTCCTAGAGCCCATCCAATTATTTTGGTCCATTTACTTGTTCTTGGATAGCCCATCAACAATCCAATCACCATAGCCCAATAGAAAGGCCCCACTCAAGGCCCAAGTGAAATTAGGGTTTTCACATAAAATGACGATTATGGTTAACTGTTCCTACTTAACCCATTAATGACTTAATCCATTAAGTCCAATATTGTATTAGGTTAATTTGCCAATGATTATTAATTAATATTTTAACTTTATTAAATAATTCCAGTGCGGGTCCCGATCAATCCCTAAAAATTAAGGTTTCATGACATTAGGGTTTCCAACCCAATACTAGCCTATTAATCAAATGGTTGGGCTTTTAGGTCAATTACGGATTCATTGGGCCCATTAAGGTTAAACAAGTTAGGCACTACCCACTACCACCTCGGGTAGTGGTGGTCAACGACGGCGGCCACCACTTTGTGGTGGTGGTTATGATTTTTGGCTAGAAAATTTCCAAGCATCCCAAAATAACAAACATACACACAAACCACACAACCACCCAAGGTGGTGGCAGAATGGCGGCGTGAGGTGGCAACCACCACCTCACAACGGTGATGGGTTGATTTCTTTGATTATTCGGCCGTACAATACATTTTACATCGAATACCCAAATAAACACACACATAAAATAACACACACACATAAAATAACACACACATAGCCACCCTTGTGGTGGCCGGTGGTGGTGGTGGCTCTCTTGTGATTTCCGGCCAAATAACCACACAACCTTGACTGAAACATGCCCAAAGATGCACAGACGTTCCCGTAATAGTAACACCACCACCCACCCAGGGGCATACGGTGGTGGAAGTGGTTGAGCTTGGCGGCAGCAGCATCGGTTAACGGCGATAGGAGAATAGGGATAAGATAGACTCAACCACAACCACAACAACCTCCGCTGTCGTCAGCCTTCGATCTCCAAGGCTGAGTGATAACGGTGGCGACTTCATCTTCATCGGCAACAAACACGACGACATCAGCTTCGGGTTGGAAGGAAACGAGGACAGTCGTTGGAGTCCACAACAAACAACATCAAACTGGCCGCTGGCATTGGCGGCGACTTCGATTTCAATGGTTGGGCACATCAGCGGTGGTAATGCAACAGTGGAAGGAGGTGGCGGCGACGACTGAAATACAGTCAATCTAACAAACGACGACAGCGACAGTCTCAACTTTGGTTCCGGGTGGTCCTCATCGCCAACAACAAGAGCTTCAATGGTGTTTTGTGACTCGATGGTAGTGGGGGGTGTAGCGGCGCCGGAGATCGGAGGAAAAAGGGGTGGTGACGGCTGGAGGTTAAGGTGACGACTGCTACTAGGGTTAGGGTTCAAGAGGGAAGCGACGAGTTATATACCCTGCTCATAAGGCTTTATCCCATAATGACGCCTTTAGTCCCTCATTCTCATTTCCTTTCAATTTAAATCCTTAATTTACCATTTAAACCCCTCATTATGAAAATCTTTACAAATTAAGTCCGAAATCTTACCAATCAGCCCTCCATTTTCGAAATTCTTTTCAAAGCCAGTCCATAAATTACCCTTTCAACCCACAAGATCTTAATTATGACATATTATACCCTTCCTTCTCTTTTTCTTTCAAATTAACTTCAAATTTACCCAAATAGCCCCTCCTCTACAAAATATTTTCAATATAAGTCCACGAACTACAAAACGATCCCGATTGATTCCCTTTATCCATATGTTCAAGTATTCTTTCCACTACAAACCTCGAAAGCACTCTTTAGTCCTCCTAAACAAATTATAATGCCAATTACACACTTTTTCACCAATCTCTTTATTTAATTATATTCATATATCGGGATAAAATAATAC